TTAATGCATGTCCCACCACAATGGAAAATCATTTGCCAAATCATGAAAACCATTTCTTTAAGTCTCTGTGTTTGAATGATACTTCTTTTCATTATAGAATAATAAATAGATTTTTAAGAGAAATAGAGGCAGAGCTATTTGAAAGACCAGGCCCAAAGACTAAGTTGCAAAGGCTTAATTATATTGGGAGCTAAAATCAACACTTGATTCTCAAATGCTTGAAAATATATGACCAAATGATGTCCAACAAGATAGACCAGGAATGTAAGGAAGGAAAACAGCATCAGGAAGCTCAATATACTCAATACTTACCTAGCTGTAAAGAAAAAAAGTATGGAACAAAACAAAACTGACTTCTAATATATGATCCTAAAACAGCATGGGCTTAGGGAAGTTTATTACATAGTTTTACTTTGGTTATTAAGTTTGTCGTAAGTTAGGGATTATTGCCCACTATCTGGTAACTATCAGGCAAGAGCTATATTGCTGTTTTCCCAAAGAGCTTTTTCTTTCTCACAAGGTGATTATTATTCCTTCCTTTGCCAACCATACTCTGCAGACTGAGAGAAACAAAGGATCAGAACACACTAAGCCTAATGAATTGTATGAAAGACTATGTGGTGATCATCTTTTCTTCCTTTTAAAATTAAACATTTGCCTTGACTTAGAAATTAGCTGCAGAAGGATGCATTATCACAAATAGTAAAAACAGAAATAGATGCAAAAAATGTGCATCCTATAGAATATGATTACAGGATATAAATATTTATATAAGATAGAATATAGATAGATAAACAGAAAGAAAGAAAGGAAGGAAAGGAAAGGAAAGGAGAAAAGAGAAGAGAAGGAAAGAAAAGAAAGGAGAAAGGGAGCGGAGAGGAGAGGAGAGAAGAGAAGAGAGGAAAAGAGAGAAAAGAAGATGAATTTTGATATACAGGAATTTTTTTAAATTGGGGGAGTTTTCTGATTTTTATAGCCCAAAGATTTTGGTGAAGGAGGAAATTGTTAGAACAAAATTTTCAATGGGAAGAAACAAATTTTAGATAAATGATGGAAATAGTTACAGTTATTAGTAGGGAAATATTCATTAGGAGAAACCAAACAACAACATCTTCAATCAATTCATATGGTAATATATGTCTCACAGAATTATTTTTGAACCTGTATTTATATGGAGAAAGTATGATGACTTTAACAAGAACACTTTTATTTGGCAATATGTATAAAAATAAAAATGCAAAAAGGATAGTTATGTAATTTCTAATACCAAAATAGCACTGAACTATATCATTAGTGGTATTTACAACCTTAATTAAGGAGTTGTTTGATGATCATATTAACAAGTCTGGCATAATTTTTAGTCAGATTGACACTACTTAAGACTTAAGCAATTGGAGTTTGTCAGTAAAATCAGAGCCGAATCTGGAGGAACATCTGATATCTACAGTAAAATTAAGGTCAAGGACTTGGCAAAATATGTTACAGACAGTAGCAGATGTTCTCAGATTAAATCATATTTCTATTAAAAACTGGAGAGATGTTCAGTCGATAAAACTGAGAATCACAGAAGTGAAGTGTAGAACCAGGCTGGGTATTTAGGGACCAGTCATTCATGTCATCTTAAGAAGATAACTGACATGCAAAAAAGGTTAAATGATCTGTCCCAAGATTTAGAGCTGGTAGGGATGTCTCAGGCTAAAAGTTCAAATGGTTCTGACTTCCAGAATGTTTCTCATTTGTAACAAAAAAGAAGGAACATTTTAATGGTTTACACAAAATATATTTGCATTACCCTTTATGGTAGTACTAAAGACAAGAACATACAGGAAGGTCTATTAAATACACGTCTATTAAATGGATTTGCTTTACTTAATTCCTTTCCTCAATATTATCTAATGCTATATTTTATACTGAAGTCCAAATTCTAACTGCCAGACATTAAACCTATACTCAATCTGCAGCGTACTCTTTTAAAAAATGATTTTATTATTAAGATTAAAAATCAACCAGTAACACACTACAAGTACTTTGTAAAATGTAGTTAATGAGCAAGTACTTTCTCAGCTGATCTTTTATAAGATTTCATAGTACCTAGAATTTTGGTGCAATACTAAACTTCTATGAATTACTGTACAAAGAACTGACCACAAGTAGATAAATTTATGGCAAATTTCATGTTTTCTTTCCAAACCAAATCAAATTGACAATAGAGCATACTCTAAATATCATCATTTGTCACTTGGAAATTTTGACTTGTGATAGACTGGAGATTACAAAAATCAAAATTATATTACAATCTTTGGTATAACATGTACAGAGATTCAGGCTTTGACTTTTCAATAGCTGATAGATTGACTTAACAGTATATACAGACACCACTAAACGAGAATACAATTGATTAATTCTCATGAAAAAAAATGTAGAGAAAATTATTTCCACTGAACAGAACTCGTCAGCAATATAGACCAGTTACCAAAAAGTTAGGAGAAACTTCATTGCTGAGTTCATCTCCCAATAATTCAAGTGTGTATCTCACTACCTACCTTTCATTAGTGGGTCTCAAACTTACATGGGCATAAGAGTTCTTCAGAGGACATGGAAAACTAGAGTCCCAGCATTATCATGCTTTAAGAAACTTCAAACCCTGATCCTTAGCAGAAAGAACAATGATGGAGGAATATCAATATCAAATTTCAAACTCTACTACAAAGCCACAGTAATCAAAACAGCTTGGTACTGGCACAAGAACAGACCTGGGGGCCAATGGAATAGAACTGAAGACCCAGAAATGAACCCACAGACCTATAGCCACCTAATCTTCAATAAGGGAGCTAAAAAATAAAATGGAAGAAAGACAGCCTCTTCTCTAAATGGTGCTGGCAAAATTTGTTAAACACCTGTAGAAAACTAAAGCTAGATCCTTATATATCACCCTGTACCAGAATCAACTCCAAATGGATAGAGACCTCAAAGTCAAAGCAGACACCCTGAAAACATTACAGGATGGAATAGGAGAAACCCTAGCTCTCCTTGGCACAGGCCAAAATTTTCTTAATAAAGACCCAGAAACACAACAAATCAAAGAAAGGTTGGACAAAGGGGACTGTATGAAACTGTAGAGCTTCTGCATGGCAAAGGACATAGCTAGCAAGATCAATAGAAAGCCCATGGATTGGGAGAAGATCTTCACTAGCCATACAACGGACAAGGGTCTCATATTTAAAATATACCTGGAACTCAAAAAATTAAATCCTCCCAAAACAAATCTTCAAAGAAACAACTGCCCAATAAATAAGTGGGCTAAAGAGTTAAAGAGAAACTTCTCTGAAGAGAAAATAAGAATGGTCAATAGACACATGAAAGAAATGCATAAAATCCATAAAAGAAATGCAAAGCAAAACAATATTGAGATCCCACTTCATCCCAGTTAGAATGGCTATAATCAAGAACTCTAATAACAACAGATGCTGGAGGAGATGTGGACAGAAGGGAATCCTACTGCGTTGCTGATAGGAGTGTAAAACTCTAGAAAGCAGTATGGAGTTCCTCAAAAGACTCCACATAGAGCTCCCCTATGATGCAGCAATCCCACTTTTGGGCATTTCACCAAATGATCACAAACAAGGCTATACTAAAGCTACCAGCACAACCATGTTTATTGCAGCATTATTTACAATCGCTAAGATATGGAACCAACCCAGATGCCCCTCAGTAGATGAATGGAGACCAAGAAAATGTAAAATGAAAATGTTTCATATATATGCATGTATATGTATACATCTATATAATGGAATTTTATGCCTCCATCAGAAAGAATGACATTTCCCCATTTGTTAGGAAATGGAATGACTTGGAAAAAATTATATTAAGTGAAGTAAGCCAGGCCCAAAGAAGCATAGGTCCTACGGTTTCCCTTATTTGCAATAACTAGTATATGTCTAGAACAAGCAGAAGAGGTCAAAAGCTATATACATATGACCATATAAGATGATGTTAAATGAAAATGAACCCCAAGATAGGGACATAAGTAGTTTTTTCTTTCTTGCTATTGTTTTTAACGTATCTAAAATGTACTATGTGATTTTTTTTGGTTCTCTTCTATGTTCTTCCCCCATGGTATAACCGCTGTTTTCACTGTATTTGATGTTGGTGCCCTGAATCTTGTATATACATTTTCTAAAAATGAGATGTACAAAACACTATGTTGAAAACGAACTTTATAACTTCAGTGGGGGGGAGGGGCATGGAGTAGTTGGGGAGGTAGGGAGAGAAGGGATGGTAGGGGAAAAACAAAGGAGGAAGCAACAATGCTTGACAAGAAATGTACTCATGACCTTACTCATGTAACTGTAACCCCTCTGTACAGTATTTTTACAATAAAAAACATATATTCATAGTATGTATACATATGTGTATATATATATGTATATATATACATATATATATATACATATATATATATATATACTTTAAACCCTGTAGGAATTCTTACCTGGATAAGCAATTATGATATGCACTAAATTTGAGAAAGACTACTTTAGCAAGTGTTCTTTGCATTTTCTTTTTTATCTGTCTGCATGAGTACAGCTTGCTTCTCTCTCATTCATTCTTCATTTAGTCAACAATCTAAGTCCAACTATTATAATAAAAAAAAAATAATAATAATGCTTCCTTAGCACATTCAGGGAAAAAAATCTAAAGCTCTTTTTTATTATTCTCCTTTGTATTTTAATTTTATTTTCAAGATGATGCACAGAGGGGTTACAATTACATAAGTAAGAAAGTGATTACATTTCTTGTCCAACTTGTTATCCCTCTCCTCATTTTTCTCCCTCTTTCCCTCTCCCCACCCCGCCCCCAAGTTATACAGATCTTTTCCAACATAGTGTCCTGTGCGTATTGCTGTTGCATAGGTTCCCACTTTGTCCTTTGACCCTTTCAACACATGGCCAGCTTATTTGCACATCTCCCCTGTTCGCAATACTTTTTCAGAGCTTAGATTCATGTACCAATTAAAAATTTTATTGAATTTTTATTATCCATACAGAACTGGATCTAATAGTAGAGTTGCAGTGTGAGGAGATGGGAATCATTGTCATTCTTAAAAGGGAAAACCTGTAGAAACAGCAAAAACATTATAATGAATATGAATTGAGATAAACCCTGTAAGGCATTATGGGGGGAGTGATGGGAGCATTGAACAGATAAGGCTATGGACCAGATGAGATCTGAGGACTTTCCAAAGGAACATCCTCAAGTAAATGATGTTTAAGCTGGGTTTGAAGTGTCTTTAGGATTTACCAAGATACAATAGCAGAAGGTTCAAAGTGACATTAAATACAGGCAACAAAATGTGACAAGGTATTATAATAGAAAGCAAATAACATTTTCAAGAACTCAATGTAGCGTTTAAAGTTCAACATGAAAAGAAAGAAGTGTGTAGCTAGGTATAAAATCTGAGAAGGTGAGCAGCAAGTACAAGAGTTATTAGCCACAGTTTCTGGAGTTACTGAATAGTAAAGTAGAGAATGATCACAGATTTTCCTTTTAAAGGATTATTCTTATCCTAATGGAGAGAATGGATTAGACAATGAAAAGCATGATTACTGGAATATCAAGAAGGCTATTACAAGCAGTATGGAAGATTGCAGATGGTGCTAGAATTAGACTCTGCTTAACAAGGGTTAGAGAGAAAAGTAAGGAGGACAAATTACTATTACTGATGATTCTATTTATCAATGAAGACTTAAATAAATTGACCATGAATTGACCAACCATATGATCCTGAGTAAGTAATTTCAACATCTGTGAATCTCAACTTCATTACTTAATATGTAATCTCATTATCTTAGCCATTCTGAGTCCGTGGCATCAAGTCCTGCAAAATCAATGTCTTTTCTTGGCACTAGGATACACGGAGACAAAATTGGATATATCCCATGTGTAGTTGAAAAGGGATATAAGAAAGGAATGTTTTATTTATAGGTACATTAGAGTTCAAGAATCCACAATAGAATATGAAGCACACAATAACTCTGATACCAAAAATCTTTTATTCTCTCTTCACATACAAATATAAAGACAAGGAACAGTGATAATGAAACTTATTGAGAGATGGAATTGTGGCTTTGTGGGTATGACTACAAAAAGGGTAGCCATTGCTAGGCCTAGGGTCATAACCAGTCAAGGGATCTACCACCAGTCTACCTCTTCTCCCAGCCTTCAAAATCTCCCCAGGATGCCAGAAAGTAAGTATATCCATATGACTCTGTTTATGGTTCATTTTTGTTCCTTAGGATTGATTAGTTGCACAAAGGAGTTTCATTTTGACATGTTTGTATGTGCACACAATGTTCCTTGATCAAACACCCTCCTCCCTTCATCTTTATTCTTCCCTTCCCAAACCAGTCTCAACCTCAAGAAGCTTTATTGTTCCAATTTCACACATGTACCTACAGTGTTTTGACCATATTCATCCTCATTCTCTTCACTCACACACTTAAGTCCTACTAGTACCCACACCCCACACTGAACACAGTTCAGCTTTCTAATATTCAGTTTTGTTCAAATGAAAGTCAAAAGATACATGCATACATATAAACACATACAGGATCATGTACGCATCACATATACATGTGAATGTATGCACATATCTAATTAAAATATAGTATGCATGTATGAAATATCATGGGAAAGTCCCTTTGAACAGGTGATTTTGTTCTTAAGGTCAGTCTCTGAGCAGGATATAGAAAGGGGAAGAATAGATCTGATTAAGCAAATGGAGAATAAATCAGAAAGAAAGAAGAAATCTATTATGTACCCAGACTCTACTGTGTACTGGCCAGAGATAGAAGCATTACAGATTTCTTCCTTGTATATAATAAAAACCATACATGGGAGATATTGTAATCCAAAACTTTCTAGAAAAGAGCCCAAGTCTTAAAGAGGAAGGTAACATGTTCTATGGAACAAAGTAAGTGGAAAGGCCAGGGTCTGCATTTGGTTCTGTAATTTCTGCAGTTCTAGAACTTTCTTCTAGATGCTACAGCCTCATAGTGAGGCTATGAGGAAATGATTGCTGTGTTCTATGTTTAGATATAAGAGCACGAATGGAAATTTACTTTCTTTTTTAATTAATTGGAGGAAAGAGGTATCAGTAGAGATGGAAAATTCAGGCTAATTTCTTTAGGGACATGAGGTAGCTTGGTTAAACAAGAATACATGATATCTAATAGATATTTATGGCACCAAGGAATGAGCCTCACCTCAATTCCTAGGAAAGTTTATGATCTACAGGGTGGACCTGAAAAGCATGGATGGTATCAGCAGAATGGAAAGATTGGACGTGAGATTGCAAAAGAAAATATTTAACCAGGAGGAATTGCTGGTAGGAAGGTGAGTTTTGCAAGTCTGTGATCCCAGTCAACCTCAGCTATTTCTTGATATCTATCCCATGCTTTATTGAATCCTGCACTTACTTTGAATTCTCAAGGCACTTTTAACCTCTTTCTTACTCACCTGCACATCTGTAAATACTGTGTGTAAAAGGATAACATATTCCGCGTTGTGTTTCATGTCTAGGGAGAGATATATCTCCCTGACTCGGCAATTCAATCCAACACGATACACAATAGATAACTGCTTTGCTATCTTCTTTGCTGGAAGGTGCTGGGGAGAAAAGAGAAAAATAATCTTTTAAGAGCTTGGTAAGGGCTGGGAAGGTGGCTCAGTGGTAGAGCACTTGCCTTACATGCATGAAGCCCTGGGTTCGATTCCTCAGCACCACATAAACAAAAAGAAAAAAGCCGGAAGTGGTACTGTGGCTCAAGTGGTACAGCACCAGCCTTGAGCTGAAGAGCTGAGGGACAGCACCCAGGCCCAGAGTTCAGGCCCATGACCGGACCTTCCCCCCCCCCCCCCCAAAAAAAAAGAGTTTGGTAAGACTTAAGGATTTTGCACAGAAGCATGAAAATTATGTAGTTAAAGAAAAACGAAGCATGTTCAGTCAGTAGAAAATGACACCTGTGGAGACGTTGAGGACAGGGGATGGTTTGCCGTGCACAAAGTGGAAGGTGCTTTGGGGTAGGAACAGAGGATGAGCCCAAAGAAGCAGCCAGTTTGCCAGTGCATGAAGGAGTTTGTCTACAGGCCGAGGAGCTGAAGCATTACCCCCACCATGATCTGGGAAGTCCCTGAAATGTTTCAATCTGCAGAGAAATACGGTCAAGCCCAAGCTTAGTAAAGACCCTACTGGGTGTCTATCTGTAGAGGAAATGAGAGGAACTCTATAGAGGATGTCCAGAGACACGTTGGACTTCTTAGTTCAAAGCCTAGGTGATGAAGGGTAATAAATAGTGACAGCAGACTGGATAAAAGGGAGTAATTTTCAACTTAATTATTTTGCCCATAGTTTATCGTCCCTTCTCCAAACTGTAGCCAAAGAAAGATATAAAAATATACATAATTAGTCAAGAATATATAAAGCTGGGTGCTGACGGCTCATGTCTGTAATCTTAGCTACTAAGGAGGCTGAGATCTATAGATCATGGTTCAAAGCCAGCCTGGCCAGGAAAGTCTATGAGATTCTTATCTCCAATTAACCACCAGAAAACCAGAAGTGGAGCTGTGGCTCAAAGTGGTATAGTGTTAATTTTGAGCAAAAGAGTTCATGGACTGACCAAGAAAAAAGATTATATATATATGTATATATATATAATTTTCTTGTAATTTTCTGGCCCAGAATCACACATAAGCACCCAGAAAATCTTGAATGCACAAATGAGGGAGTGATAAACTAATTTTTTTTTTTCGTAGAGTTCATAATGGTGAAAGTCACCCATCCCTTTGCTCATTAATCCTATTATCCATTATTAGTGACAATATTTGAGCCTTAGGAACATGTAAACTTACTACAAATACACTGTTATTGACACACTTGCTTTTAGCCAAGTAGTATTCTGTTGTACCAAAATTCACACCAGTAGGTGGCACACCAGAGGGAAAAGAAACTCATTGGCCCTTTCAAGTGATTTCTCACGTTTCGCTAAAGATGGACATCATTGCTCTATATGATATTTTTCAATTAGCAGAACAAACAGAATCCTACACTGGAGAAAAGATTGGATGACTTTTGTACTTGATCTAGAGAGATTACCTAGGCAACCAGGCCTTCCATTTTTTCTGTTACCTAAATAACTCTCCACATGTATGATACATTATCAAAATAAAGTGCCCTAAATATAGGTGAGTCTGATGTGATTTGGGAGCCACTGGTACAAATATAGGTTATAGGGAGCTTTTTAAACATTTGTGTTTTATCTGGCCAAGAAAAGGGGGAGGGCGAGATTGACACTAAGAAATACATGAGGCTAAGAAAATCTCAGTAGGGCATGACAGTAATTTAAAGAAAATATAATAATGCTTTATTAAATGTTTGAGGATAAAAATGTTTTTTATTTAAAGTATTACTCAAACAGGAAACACTAATAATTATTGTCAGGTTTTTTTTTTAAATCACTCTCTTGTAGTAAGAGTTCTTTGGCTGCATGACTGAGAAGCCAGCTCTAAGCAGAAAATGAAAATTGTGGTAGGCCATGGGGTGGCCTCAAAAGGGACGAAAAGGGAACACAAGGAGGAAGCTGAGTAGAGATATCAAACAGTTAGCTCCAGGGATCTGAGTAGTTGGAACAAACAGGAGTTTCCTCTGGGGAAAAGTGAGAGGAAAAAAAATGAGTTTCTTACAAAGTCTAGTGACAGCTTTTATAAATGAATGTTCAGGGAGCAACTGACCCGCATGGAAAAGAGTGATGTTTAAGAAAGAGAAAACATGTACTTTGGAACTCCTGAAGCAGAGTCAGTCAACATGTGTGCACTTTAGTGTTGATTTCTTGATGAATTATACTCATTTAAAACTGGAAACGGCCCAATGAATATTCTATATAAAGAACAACCTTTAAAGAAGGCAGCATGAGGAGTAAGAACAATTGTTCTACAACCTGGTTTTGCTACCTTGACATCCATCAAGGTACTGCCAAAAAATAGGTTAAATGGTACAACAGTAAACTTAACTAAAGGCTCACAAACCACTAGAAGTCATTGGATAAAAGAAAGAAAAAAAATGTAGTTTCTGCAGGGAAGAATAAAATTTAGGTCAGAACCAAAATTAGTTTGAGTAAGGAAGTCAAAGATAGTTCCTTTTGACATATACTGGAATTTTATTAAAGTAAATACTCTTTCTAAGATCATATTTATACCCAACACCAGGCAATGGATCATTTTACTTAATTGTTCAAGAGAATTTTCTGATGATTTGGATGGTGCACTAGTATTGTCATGGAACGCAATCCAAAAGTTTTAATAATGCAATGATGGAGTTTTTAAGAGTTCTTGCATGAGAGGTATATTGTATTTCTAATAGGATGGTTTGGTAGAAAGAGTGTTTTGTTTATGGGGCCAGAATCAAAAACAGAGTATCTATACAGCTTTGGGAATATATATTTGCCTCTTTACTTCTTAATTTTAATTATGCACAATTGAACAAAAGGCTAATTACTAGGGCTCCAATGGGGGTATGGAGTATGCCAGACAAAACTATTGCTGGTGAAAATTACTCTGTAAACTGTATGACATCCTATGATTTTTAAGGCTAATTGTATTTATGTTGACATATTATTCAATAGTAAACACTAGGACAAAATAGCACTCTGTATTTCTGACAAGCAGTATTAAATTGAATTCATGTTGATCACAATCATTTGGAGCAATGGTTCACCACCTAAAACAGCTTAGGTTTTTCCAAGAGTTAACTTCAAGTGCTAAATTTACATTGCAACCCTTAAATAGACATAATTTATATCTGTATTGCACAAACCTCCATAAACAATTTTTAAGACCCAATGAAACATCTCTAAAAATAGACACATTTGTAACATTTGCACGTAGCCACATTTGACATGACAGGGCATGAGCAAAATTAATATTGCCAATAAATATAATCTCAAAGTATTGTATAGCAGGCTTGCTGATTGTTCTGATAATCATAGGGCATGTTTCCTTGAGGACAAATCACTGAGAATTTTTAATTGCCCTTAAATAGAAACCATACTGTATTGTTAGTCTAGAAAAACAGTCTATGGGAGCCACCTTCTCCCACCCATATTTTGGCAGTAGAAACAAGGATCTCAAATCCGGACTATTCCTGATCTCCATAGCAACAATGTGCTTTATCTTGCATAAATCCTAATATCCTAAGTCTCCATCGTGTTTTGGTATGGTATCTCAGCCCTAAAGTAATGTTCTTGATGTGGAATTACAAGTGCTTTAAATAGAACTTTGCTGAAAAATAAAAATGTTGGTGCAATACTCTATTATCTTCACTTTGAACTGAACCCTGCTATTTCTGACTAAAGGGTTATTGGATCTTTCGAGAAGTCACTGAGTTAAAAAAAAATTGTCCTATTTAATGTAGAGCATTAGATTGATCATAGTAGGGGGTGACACACACAGAACAAGGCCACAGGAAGGCACCTCCCAGGGTGTCTGGGTTTAATGACCATTACCTCCTGTTTTCTAGTCTTGCCAAGAAGAATTGCGCGCGCGCACACACACACACACACACACACACACACACACACACACACACACACACACACACACACACACACACACACACACACACACATTCCATTATGGTAAGACCTGCTTATACTCAGGGTTTTAAATTGGACCATGATTCTAAATGTTCACATAAGAAAGTTAAGTTAAACCCGTAAATTACTTTTGTGTCTTCTGAAAGAAAAATGTTTTGCTAAAACCAATACCAATGGTCAGACCTGGCACTTTTCAAGCTTATAGGATTGTACTTGTTTAGTAAAGTCAGTACTCCACTAAACCGACTTTCCTACAAATCCATCATTTCTCTTGTTTGAGAGAATGTAGGTTGCTGTACAGATATATTTCTTCAGATGGCTTCCCTTCTAATGTTTCAAATGCATTAGCACTCAGCAGAGGATAGTGAAAGACTTTTTATGCTTCACTCCCTTGTAAGATCTCAAATGATGTTTAAACTAAGTTGAGTAGACTACAACTGGATGTGTCACTCATTGCTTTTCTTAATGGAGATTTAACATTCTTGCACATGTTAACACTCTCTTCTACTAATGAAAGCACTTAGAGTCAACTCTTTTTTTGTTTTCTCTTGAAGGCTTGCTGTTCTTTCTTATTTTTCAAGTGTTTCATGAACAAATAAAGAAACTTGACAGTGTCATTAAGAGGGTTTCAATACTCTGGATCCACTGATTCTGTTCTGAATAATTTACCTCTGCTTTTGGCATTTTAAGGGCAATCACATGAAGAGGATGGTTGTACCCTGAGCACATGGAAAAATAGTTCCAACCAGGATACAAGCTACCCTGGCTCCAGCTTGCTATACAATGGGTTCAAATAAATTAAAGCAATTGCTTTTGAAAAGGAAAAAAAAAAGGATTTTCAAATCTAACATTGTCTATTGAGAGAATGCTACTTGGGGAGGATTGGATGAAGAAACAAATAAATTTTAAATTGCTCTGAAGTCAAGAGGTTTAGTTCATTTTTGTTTGCATAAAATGTGGTGATTGGCTGCCTCATCAGTGCCTGGCATCATTAGGGAAACCAAAAAGAAAGAAGAGGAA